GATATATAGCGGGGATAATAATCAATGTAATGAAACAAGCTATATGAATGGTTGAATGTGAAGCTGATGATGTGCCCTGTAAACTTTCACTCAATGCAAAATAAAAACATTTAATTAAAAAAAAAAAAAAATGAGGTCATTTGTTATACAACATATAACACATTCTAAAAACGGAAAGCATCACCCAATGAAATGTGAGCAAACTATGATCACAAAAGTCATTTATCTTCTTGATCAAAATCTCACTTTCGGAAAAATTGAGACCAAAATGGAAAACTCCTGACAATCACAATGCTGTTATTCTTTGATAAAACAGCGTATTTCATTTTGTTTCCAATTCTAAATCTAAAATACTCCAATCCGAAAAGCTATCAAATATGACATAACTAAAATGACGGTTTTATAACTTCTCTTATTCATTCATCCAACTATGCATTCTCAATGCTATGTTACTTTTTGCATCTGATTTGGCTCCCATTTTAAAAGAACAACATTTAGCTACTCACAGTGGGCAGTGAAAGACACCATGTAAGTAATTTTAAAAATTGCAACTTAAAGTTTCAAATTTCTAAACTGTTCTCTTCCTAAAGTTACAAAAACAATATTTTGAAGGAGCTGTATTCACCCAGAGTGCTCATTAACTGACTTATGGATACTATTTTTCTAACATCCTATTCTGAACTGAATTTTTTTTCTTCTGAATATTTTTAAACTATTTAAGGAACAAAGTACAAAATCATATTAATCTACAAACTTCTTATGTAATATACAGTCATATTTTTCTCATAAGCTAAAAATCTACTTTTAAAAAACACCAACTTACCACCCTTCCAAGGTCCAATCCCTCCCCAGAACCACACCAGAGAAAAATAAATGATCGTGGTGCTGCAATTTCATCAATTTCTAATTTCATAATCTAGAAGAAAACAAAACAACACTGCGTAAAATCTCTGTTTCCCATTCATCCTAAATCCTAAATAACACTCATAATTCATCAGGACTCTTTAAATACGTTTATTTTAATTAGGAAATATGACGGAAAAATTAACTTTATTCTAGTGCTGAAACACACATAATCATGCATGTGCACACACATACATTTATACAGTTGCTGTAATATGATAAATTTATACCAAAACATTTATATAATTATGGTATTTCACGAGATAGAGCTATTCTAAAACAACCTGTTAACTATTCATGAAAAAAGAAACTGAGATGAAAACAGTAAAATGCAATGACCTGAAAGGTAGGGCAAGTAAATATGAAATACAACAGTAAATGCTTAGTTCTAGATAAAATAAATCAATTTGTACTATTAAAATAACCACTAAAACATGCATTATCAAAAGAAAATTCCGCAACTTAAAAGTTTCATTGCCTTGTATTTGTTGAATGTATCACATTAAAAAAGTACTCTAATAATTACATTTCTAAATTTGAGGAATACCATGCTCTCTTAATGTCTGCAGAAGCAACTATTTTATATGACATTCTTTTTTGTTGTTGTTTTTTAACAAGTTTCAGAGGCCATGGTTCAAGCAATAATTTATTAGTTTCATTTACTAAAAGTTTTTAACTTGCACCATGAGTCCTGGTGTGTCCTGGTGTGGCACTATAAGATAAGCACTGAACCATAAGATCAATTTGAACTGCAAAGTCAGCAGTTCAAACCCACCAGCCGCTCCTTGGAAATCCTATACAGAGTTACTGAATCGGAACCATCTTGACTACACTTATATATGGTCCAGTGAGGTGTTGTACTACTAACTCAAGGTTAGCAGCTCAAATTCAACAGTCACTCCTTGGGAAACCTACATAGAGTCATTAAAGTCAGAACCAACTCAACAACACCTAACAATAACAAACACGTATGTATGTTTGTTAAATTTTGTTTTTTAAGTAAGTGCTATGTCCTTACTCAAAACTCACTGACCAACACTGCTGACTGAAAAACACTTGGAAAACCCAAACCCTTATCTTACTTATATTAGTTGCAGGCATTTTGTTTAAGGATGGTATCATATAAGGAGTACTGGTGTGGTGCTGTAGGATAAGCACTGGACTGCTAACCACATGGTTAAGTGGTTCAAACCCACCAAACACTCTTTGGAAATCCCATACAGAGTTGCAGTGAATCAGAACTGACTCAATGATACTTACTTAGCAACACAAAATATGTTGGCATAATGATTAAGCACTTGTCTCTAACCAGATGGTCAGCAATTCTAAGAGACCAGTCACTCCATTGGAGAAGACCTGGCAATTTGCTCCCATAAAGATTCCAGTCTAGGAAACCCAATAGGGTAGTTCTACTCTGTCCTATATGAAACTATGAATCGGGATAGATCCAATGGCATATAACAACATTATATAAAGGTTAAGAGCTTAGGACTCTGGATTAGAAAAGATTTTCTGAATATACCAGTCACAGCTTAAATTAAACTGAAATCACTGATCTGCCTACAAACCGGAAATTCCTTTATTTCAAAAACTCTCTGTCATATACTCATACACTCGAAGCTGTTGTGCCTTTATAGATCAACCCTTAGGCTGACTAAAGCAAATATAGTTCATTCAACTTAACTACTAATCAAAGACATGATACTCATTTTCTAAGTTGCTATTTTCTTTTGACCAAATGGACAAAGATGGTTTTTAATATTAATACTCAATTTTGATGAGGAGAGGGTGAAACCTGGAGGTACTGTATTGTCATTGTTGTTAAACAGTGTATTTTATTGTTGTTGTTGAGGAAATGTAAATTTGTACAAAGTGTCTAGAAAGCTTCTCAACAATAAACAGGAAGATAGTTAGGACTTTAAGTCTTGTGAATACTATATTCTGTGCATTTTTACTGTATTTTCAATAACAAACATCAACTGCATTTATATAACTAGGACATGATGAAAAAATATTTTTAAATGATAAGCTATAAAAATGGAAGGAAAGGCAAAATGAGTTAACATTCTTTTTTTTAGATTTTTCTAGCTATAAATCCAAAGGCTAAGATTGTTGAGTCTTTAGTCTACTCACTGAGTACCTATTCAATTTCTGCCGACAAAGAATCAGATATAAAATCATTCAGTGTACTTTGGACATTCAGCAACAGTATCCATTATAAATCAATGTGCATAATCCCTACTATTTATAATTTTACTTTTTAACCAAACAAAAAAATTCAATTAAAAAATAAATAATTCATTATAATATAGAAAGCTTCAGCATACATCATCCCAAGTCCAGCATTTCTCATTAGCAGTGATGCCAGTTTCTCTGTAATATTCTTCTAAAGGGGGTTCCAGGAGAATCACATCAAATTTGGGTGTGAGTTCTCTGATGTCAAAAGCTTCTATATCTGCTTGTAAGTACCTATTTGATTCAAGCATTAAAAGATGAGTAAAAGATTGTCAAATACCTTATAGATAGTAACAAAACAAACTACTTAAATATTAATAAGCACTATTTATTTCAATAACCTCATATTCATGTGAAAGTTGGATAGTGAATAAAAAAGACCATAGAAGAATTAATGCATATGAGTTATGGTATGGAGAATATTGAAAGTACAATGGACTGCCAAAAGAAC